TGGTAATGGTGGTGATGATGGTGGTAATGGTGGTGGTGATGGTGGTAATGGTGGTGGTGATGATGGTGGTGGTGATGATGGTGGTAATGGTGGTGATGATGGTGGTAATGGTGGTGGTGATGATGGTGGTAATGGTGGTGATGATGATGGTGGTGATGATGGTGGTGGTGATGATGATGGTAATGGTGGTGGTGATGGTGGTGGTGGTGATGGTGGTGGTGGTGGTGATGACTGGATGAAGCATCTCAACTAAGAAAAAGATTAATATGAAAGAGAAGGAAAAGAACAACAACCAACAAACAAAAACTGGAATGAGCCTGATCTTCCTTCTTCTAGGACTAAAATTAGTTCTACTCACATATCTCATGGCTTCAAATGTGTGTGTGTGTGCATGCGTGCCTGTGTGCATATGTGTGTGTGCGTGCATTTCAGCCTTCCAGGGTGCTGTTCAGAACTCGAGAGCATGAGAGACAATAGAGCCTAGACTTAGGAAAGGTATGGGTGTCACTTAAAGCTGAAATTTATTTTTCATGGCTCGAGCTTCCTTATTTTGCAAACTTTCTTGACAAAGGTTTAAATCTTTATCTAACAATTTTATGATTTTCAAAAGCCTCCAATTGCAAGAACGCTGGGAGGAAAGAGAGAAGAGGAAGGGAAAAGGGTACTTTAATTAAGTTAGCTTTCTGGTCGACTCGCTTTGGTGTCTGGAGGCTGACTGACAGCTCAAACGCTGCTGAGCACAGTGAGAAGCAGGAAAGGCACAGTGTGGTCCTCAGCCCGCAGAGCGTGGCTCCCTTTCTCCATCTTCTCCTTTTAACCTCTTCTTTCCCTTAGCCGTGCTATAGCGGGGTAAAACCAACATGGGCTAGTGTTCCTCCCTTGAGTCACTATGATCTGGTCCAGAGCCTGTCATACAGACTGTGCTCAATGGGGGGCTGGGGGAAACGGCAGGTGAAGACACTTGCTTCACCGGCCTGATGACCTGAGTTCGATCACTGGAGCCCACAAGACCCCAAGGCAGTGGCTCATGTCTGTAATCCCTGCAGTCCTACAAAGAGATGGAAGGAGGAGAAAGAATTGCCCAGAAGCTCATGGGTAGCAAGCCTGGTGTATGCAGCACAGCAGAAAAAACAGAGACTCCACCTTGGTAGGGTGGAAGGAGACTCATAAGAGTTGTCCTCGGACTTCCAGGAGTGCTCCCCGGCACATGTGTGCCTGCACACACACGCACACAGGAGCATGTACACACAGATGTACACACGCTTGTACACACACAGGAGCATGTACACATACATATGCAGTCATGCCCACAGGCACACATCCATGCACACACGCACACAGGAGCATGTACACATACATACGCAGTCATGCCCACAGGCACACATCCATGCACACACACACACAGGAGAATAAACACAAACAAAAACAGTCAAACCCACAGGCACACAACCATGCAAACACACACACAGGAGAATGTACACATACATACACAGTCACACCCACAGGCACACACCCATGCATGCACACACGCACGTGCACACACACACACACACACACACGCACACATACACCAGATTTTAAATTGAAGAGGAAGGAAGTTGTTATTCTTAGAGACAGAGTCTTGCTATGTAGCCCAGACTGGCCGCAAACTTCCTTCTCTTCCCTGCCAAGGCCCCCACATCCTGGGGTTATGGAAGTGAGCAATGACACCCAACATTCAATACTTTTTCAGTGACTTGCCAGGGGGAGCTGAGTGCTCATCTCACAGCATGGGCAGCTGATAGAGCCCATGGTTAGGCGTGGCCACCAGTGTGCCCAGCCCCTGGCTCACAGCATTGGCAGCTGACAGAGTTCACACTTTGATGTGGCCAGCAGTGTGCCCAGCCCCTGGCTCTGCACTTATGTGACCTTAGGAAGGGTCATTTAATCCCTCGCAGCCTCGGCCTTGTCTTTGTTGTGTCTGGTGGCTTGGCTGTTTTATACAGTGCTAGGGATGAGCCCGCAGCTTCACACGTACTTCCCACACACTAGCAAGCGCCCACTATGGAGTGGCATGTCAGGCAGGGGCTGTTTCAAGCCTGACGGTGATAGTCCTGTGTGTGAGAGGGCATCCCTGTGTGCACGCTGCTGGACGGGGTGCACATGTATGGGAACACTTTCTCACACTGCTGTTGCAGAGGCTGAATGGCTGCGGCAGACAACCATCATGGTGAAGTAGTTTCTCAGCCAATAGTGATGTGTTGTGATCTTTCTAGCCGTGCTGGTGTTGTGTTGATGTAGACAGTGAAGAATATTCTCTGAGCTAGTGTTACTAGCTAAGCAGAATTATCACGCTGCCTTCCTATCTATCACCAAACCAACCAAACTCACAGTTACATTGTTAAGACTTTGACTTCAAGGAGTTTTCTCTTCTGGAAGCATTTTATAAATATCCTAAGAGGTGTGTCTGGAATCTCTTTACTCTGATTGCTTTTCTCAACAACACTGTTGATTGAGCATCTGAATTCAGTAAGAGAAGGTGGAGACCATGAGTCTTCCACTCGGCCATCTGCAGCTTCCACGTGCCCTGCACGCATCTCTCTGCAAAGAACCCTGCCGGAACTTAGACCTCTGCATCTTGCCCTTATTTCTTCTATAAAGAAATATCTTCTACAGAGCTTGAGTCCACAGGTCTGAGCTGCAGGAATTCAAATCAAAATACAGGGATGCCTTGTCTCAGACACAAACCTCCCCCTGCCCGCCCCTCCTGCCCTTTTGTGTAGGTGTGTCTCTTTCATCTTCTCTGGTGGATTATGAAGCTTTGGAAACTCAATACTACAAAGAGATTCCTTTGGCCCCAAATCCACCGCTGATGTCTGCAGAGCTCATGGCAGGCACCATAAGTCTTTAAGGTGTTGTAGTTTTAATGCAATCTTTACCTTTTTTTAACCTGAAAATGGAAAAGACAAAGCCAAAAAGACACTAAGCAGCCTGTGACTTAGAAGGAACTTTCAAATTTGTGACAGAGAGCATGTGTGAGTGTGAGCATGTGTCTGTCTTCAGGTGCACACATGCACAGACGTGTATGTGTACATGAATGTGGGGGCCAGATATCAACTTTGGATGTCATTCCTCAGTAGCCATTCACCTTGTTGTTCTTTGGTTGGCTTTTAAGACTAATTTATTGTTATTTGATGTGACCAGGTGTTCTGCATGCGGGTTATATCTATGGGGTACGTGTGTGTGTGCATTGCCCAAGGACATTGGATAGCCTGGGACTGGAGCTACAGATGCTCTGAGCTGTCACTGGGTGCTTGGGATCAAACTCAGGTCTCCTGGGAGAGCAGCTAGTTCTCTTTACTGTGGATCCATCACTTGTTTTTTGAGACAGGGGCTTTCACTGGGACCTGGGGCTTACCAATCCGGTCAGGCTAGCCAGCAAACCCTGGGATCTGCCTTTCTCTGGCTCACCAGCAGATGAAAAACACCTATGCATTCCCATGGATGGCTCTCGTGAGCATTCGGGGGCTCTTTGCATCTGAGGGCCCTCCCGTGGCAGAGAGAGATGACCATGGGGGGGGGGAGATTACTTGGTTGAAATTTCTGGCCTGAGGCAAGGGAGAAGAGAATGTCTTTTAGAGTCTGGCCTGATGCTGGAGAATGCACTCAGTGGAAATAGGAAGCTGAAACAATGCTAAAGAAGCAGCCCGTTGGTTTCCTCTCAAACTCATTCCTAACTTTAGTTAAAGGTAAACTCTTGAAGGAGGACTGAATCAGTTTCTTCCCACTGAAGGTGGGACACCTGGGAGGGTAGCAGAGAGGAAGCCCAGAAAGGCTGTATCCCTAGGGAGCTTTGTACAGCCTGTTGATTCCGGATGATGTGGTCAAACTAAGACAAAGACTTGTTTCTGCCCTTGAAAATGTGGACACCGTTGTGCCGCAAGGCTGATGCCCGTTCCGCCCCCACTACTGCCATTGTCTTTCCTGATGTGGATGTTTCATCGGTGCTTTGGGAAGCTGTGTTTTCGCTTGTCTTTTCATGTGAATATGCGTGCTGTGGTCAGACTAGGAAATTCGGTAGAGCACTTCATTTTGAAATTTCCAGCTGGCCTCTCCGATCCGCTTGCACTAAATGACATAAGCAGATTGTTCTGTGAGTTATGACCCTATGAATAAGAAAAGGGCTGGTTCCGTGGGTAAAACATTTGGTTCACAAGCATGAGAAATTGAGTTTGGATCCCCAGGCCCGAATAAAGCCAGGTACAATAGTGTGTATCTGCAATCCAGCCAGACAGAGAAGTGTGTATCTGTAATCCAGCTGGACACAGTAACGCACAGGTGTAATCCAGAAAGACACAGCAATGTGTGTCTGTAATCCAGACACAGTAGTGTGTCTCTGTGATCCAGCCAGACACAGTAGTGTGTGTCTGTGATCCAGCCAGACCCAGAAATGTGAATCTGTAACCCAGACAGACACAGTAGTGTGCATCTATAACATGTACACACCACAAATATACACACACAAAAAAATAATTGTAGTAAAAATTTCAAAGAAATGTAGACACCAAACATCAACTTCCAGTCTCCACATGCTTGCACACACTTATGCATGCACACCTGCTTATACTTGTGCACACTCATACAACATACACACAATAAGTAAATGATAAACAGAAATCTTTACCCTTGTTGTTTATAACCATATATTTTTATTTTTATGAGAAAAATCAAATCATAAAGCCATAAGTAAATTTTAATTATCTTTCCAGAATTTGCTTTATGTATTGAGAAAATGTTGCCCATTTTTCTTAGCCATGGCGATTGAACATTTTCTTCCTACTGCCCTTCCCCATCTGGCTAGAGATCTGAATCAAAAAGCTCTCTGAGATCTGGTTATAAACACAGCTGCTTTAGTTTCTGTCTCATCATAGACACGGCTGTATGGTGCATGCTCACTGTACTTCAGACTCAACTCATTTATGGGTCTCATGTTGCAAACTTGTCTGCCCTGGTTTCCCCAGTTTGATGCTGACCGCGATGAGGATGCCGTGTTCTATGACATCAGCGTGGCAGTCGACAACAAGTTATTTCCAAACAAAGAGGCTGCAACAGGTAAGTCACCATGCCCTTTGGCATCATAATATGAGAATCAACTGCCAAATGGCCCAGGATTTTTATCCATGGCCGAAGCTCCACCAGCTGCTATGGGACTGGGCTTCCCTATTCTTAGCATTGATTCAAAAATAAATATAAAAATCAAATAGAAAGGAAAGACTGAAAACCTCTCCCTGAGTACTTGCTGACTTTTTTCTAGTCGTAGCACATAGAAATCTCTGGCCATCATGATGTAACATAGCACCTCTATCTCCACAGTAGGAAAAATACAGTCTGCCCCATATTTTGTGTGGCTATAGAAGGTTATAGTGCTCAGGGCCCCTCTATCTCCTGCAACTCAACTCTGTCTTGTTCTACCTGGAGAAAGCATTCTCTGATAGCGGCGTGCATCCCAAACCACAGCTCCAGGGTCACCTGTCCCATCCCATAGCTTCATGGTCACCTGTGGTGACTTTCTCCGGCTGCCAGCCCCCAAATCATGACACAAAGGCTTATTATTAATTATGAATGCTCCACCTTATCTTATGCTGTCCCACTAGCTCTTATACCTTAACCTAACCTGTTTCTCTTCATCTGCGTTTTGTCTCGGGGCTTTTTATTTTTCATTCTGTACATCCTAATTTCCTGTTTCCTCCATGTCTGACTGACTGGCAGCTGCCTGGCCGGCTGGCCCCTGGCATCTCCCTCTCTTTCTCCCTCATTCTCTCTCAAGCCTAGATTCTTCCTCCTTCTTATTCTCTCTGCCTGCCAGCCTTACCTATCCTTCTGTTGCCTAGTTATTGGCCATTCCGTTTTTTTATTAGACCAATCAGGTGCCTCAGACAGGCAAAGTAAAACAAATGCAACACATCTTTACATCATTAAACAAATACAACATAAAAATATATAACACCTCTATTCATAAACAAAGGAAACACATCTTTACACCATTAAATACAGCATAAATGAAGGTAACACATATTTATATAGTTAAACAAATGAAGCAAAAATGAATGTAATACATCTTTACATAAGCAAATGCAACACATCTTTTCATAGTTAGATATTCCACATTTCCCCCTTTTGTCTGAATAAAAAGAAAGGTTTTAGCTTTAACATAGTAAGACTCCAAATATAAAACATATAAAATAAGAGCAATTATCAAGGAAGAATTACATTTACAATATCCGGGCAATTTGTATTTTCAAATTCAGAGAAAATACTCCATTATCTATCCTTCTTGGTGAATCCAAAGATGTGTACCTAATTTACTTTCTTTTTTTTTTAAATATTTATTTATTATTACACAGTGTTCAGTCTGCAGGCCAGAAGAGGGAGCCAGATCAAATTACAGATGGTTGTGAGCCACCATGTGGTTGCTGGGAATTGAACTCAGGACCTCTGGAAGATCAGCCAGTGCTCTTAACCTCTGAGCCATCTCTCCAGCCCCCCCTAATTTACTTTCTTAACTAATTTGTATTACCTTATCTTTTAAGACCTCAAAACATATTCTTTTGTTTTTTTAAATCCTACTCATTTTAATTGTTTGGATAGGGATGTGTGTCCATCTCAGGCAGAAGATCCATGGCATCTCTGATTCTGCCCTTCTTCCTCCCAGCATTCAGTTCTGTTTTCTCTGCCTACCTAAGTTCTGCCCTATCAACTAGGCCAAGGCAGTTTCTTTATTCATTAACCAATGAAAGCAACACACAAACAGAAGAAACTCCTACACCAGCCCTTAAAGACAAAACAAAATGAATAAGAAATCCTGGCTCTGGCTGTAATGGTCTAGAAAGAAGCTGTAGCCAGGAACAAGTGTAAATCCTCTTTTCCTGTGCTCCAGAAAGTTAGCCAACAATGTTCTTGCTCTCATATCTGCACCAGTTGGTATTTCTTCATGGAAATTCACTTCTGCGGTACTGGTGGCCTTACCAGCTTCCATTTTGGGGCTTTCCTGCCAGTCAGTAACCCAGCTGCAAGGGGATCCTCAGAGAATGCCATTTTAACCACATTGCCTTCCTGATAAACAACAAAATAAAACCCGTGGCTTCTCTGCAGGCGGGGTACCAGTGCCCTTCTTATATCCAAACACCCAGAATCCTTAGCTGTCCCATGTCCACTCCTCACCCCCACCATCCCTGCAGCTCTCTGATTGGCTTAGCGCCTGCCTCTTTAAAACCTTTTGTCTCTGGTTCCCACTTAACGACGTGCTGAAGGTAGGATTCTGAAGATCCCCTTACATTAAAACAAGTGATAGTGCGTGTCTCAGGAAGTGGGGAGCCATTGCAGATCAGACCTGTCTTTGTTATCTAAAAAGGGGGGGGGTATCTTTAAATCGGAAAAGAAACTGAAAACTCAAAATGGGGGAGAATGAAAGCCAGACTTTTCCAAATGTCTGAATCCTGTGGTCGTTTCTGAGGCAGAAAGTCATGCCTAGTGTTCTTGTGGCTGTACTGGTTGGCAGACAGACGGGGAACACCAGCATTTGTCTCCCTCGCTCAGTTGCTGAGCCTTGGCTATTAGGAAAGTCCCCATTTCCAGAAAACTGAGCAACTAGTGCTTTGAAAAATGGAAGCCATTCAATCATTATCTGAGCTGATAATGATACCCTTTGTCTATCATCTGAGATATATTAATACTGCGGTTGCCAGGGGCAACAGTGTGTCAAGAATTGCTATCCCTTAGTAATACAGTGAGATTTCTGTCAGAGCCCTTGATTAGGAATGCTCATCAATCTCCTCCTCCTCCTAAAAGGGAAGTTTGTTTTAATCAAAAGGCTTTTCATTCTGATGTGATTGGAAATAATTTTCTAATGAATTTGATGCTGTTTCCAAGGCTAGCATGTGGTCCCTACTTGGTGGCTTGTTTAAGGGCCCTTCAGATTGCACTTCTTGAAATCGATTGGAAGAATGGTTTCCAACTCCACAAAACAAGTAGGACAAGGGACTCCTTGCTGCTGTGTGTTCACCAAGGCTTTGTATTCAGATCCTGGGGGCTCGCTAGGAAGCAAAGGACAGTCAGAGATGAGAGAAACACATTCACCCACACGCCTTCCTCCACTTGACTAGTCAAGAAGACAACATCCACTCTGTGACTAAGGAGAGCCAATGCATTCATTCAGATTGTCTTTAACACTGCTGTGCACAAAAGCCACCTAGGAAGAAACTTGATTGTCCTGGCTTGAACGAGATTCCAGTCTTCCACCTCTGACGTTTCCACAGCCCCCTGCAATGTGCTTCCTCCATATGCGTTATTGTCCCTTCTTGTCTCAGAATGCTGAATGGACAGCCACACCCTCCAAGTCCTTGTCCGTGTAGCTTTCTGTACTGAACGGCAGTCTGGGTAGAGCCCATTGGGTGGCTCTGCCTAGAGTTTGTCATCAGCAGGGTGCCTGAGCGAACTGAGACGTGGAAGCTCAGAGTTCTATCGTTGCTGTCACACAGTAGCACCTGCTCCAAGTTGACATCATCCTGGGATATGCAGTCAGACTGTCCTAGGAACATGGAAGAGACTGTGAGAACCACAAACAGTGGTCTAACAGCGAGGACCTTCTCTATTTGGTGGAGAGTAGGGTTAGCAACAGTCAGTAGCGTATAGTGGTGCACACCTGCACTTCCCAAGTTCAAAGCCAGCCTGACCTAAAGACTGAGGCTTATCCACAGAAAGGGTGAGGGACAGAAAGGAAGGACAGAGGGGGTGAAAGGGTAAAGCAAGTGGAGACACTGGGTGAGGCCCCACTTTGCCTCTGGAATTCGAATGACTATGAGTCACTACTTCTGGGGTGCTCTGTTTCTGAGAAGTGGATGAAGTGGGTACTGTTTTGTGAGAATATGCTCCATTAAACTTTCATATCTGACCAAGAATGACTTGTCAAAGCCCAGTTTGCAGAGAAATGGTAGACCATTTGCTATTTCACAGAATACTTAAACCTTTTATGGGCAGCTCTTTCCTTGTCAGGGAGGTGTGTGTACCGGGGTAGGTGCCGTGTCTCCACACAGGAAAGCATCATGAAGAGAGAACAAGTCCATTGTCCTGTGAGAACCAATGATGGGAATTAATGGTTTAACTCTGAGCCTGGGGAATAAATGGCAACTGGCTTAATGCAGCCTATACTACCCGAAAGAGACAACCTCTCATCTTTGAGGACTAGGATGGTCATTTTCAACTGTCAGCTTGACACAATCCAGAGTCATAGAATTGTCTAGATGACTGGCCTGTGGGAACTGCCTAGATCTTCCCGGCTTGTGGACATGTCTGTGGGGATTATCTTGACTATAAGTTGAGGTGGGAAACCTACCCTAAAAACAAGCCACATTATTTCCTGGACTGGGCCCTGGACTGTGTGTGAGTAGAGAAAGCCAGCTGAGTGGCCGGCAGCAGCGATGTTAATCTTTCTCTGCTCTTGACTACAGATGTGAGTGTCAAGGTGCCTGAGTTCTTGACGTCCCCTCAATTATGGAGTGAAACCTGGAATTGAATGCTGAGCAATCCCTGTCCTCCTCTGTCTCCTTGTGAAGGCATTTGTCACAGCAAATGAAATAAAGCTAGAACTGAGGCTAAGGCCACCCGTAGGCTTGAGGCAAAAGTCATGGTTTAGAATGGGAAGATCAGTCCTTGTATACCAGAAGCTCCTAGAAAGGAGCTCTTCTGCTCTGTTCATGGCGCTCCTGGTGTCTCTGTCATAGAACATTCTGAAGCCATCTCTCCGAAACACTCAAATTCCCTCTCCAACTTCAAGTTCCTGTCTCAGGTCCAGTGTCACCTCCACTGATGGTTTAGTACCTCACACGTTCTGGTTTCTGAGTCTGGCTGTTGACAAGTTAGGCTCTTCCAGAGCTTGCTCTTCTGAAAGCTGGGACAGGGTCCAGAGTGTCTGTGTCCTCTAACCCCAGCCCAGACACAGAGTGCGGCAGATGGAGGATTGTGTAAGTGTGTGTGCAGCTAACGGAGCAATAGGACAGTGAGGCAGCCTGCTGGGAAACTTGCTGCTTTGGAAACACACAGACAGTCTCCACCAGCTAACCATGTCTTTTTTAAACTTAGATTCAAGCGACCTTGACCCTTCGATGATGTTTGACCCTGGAGAGATTGTTGACACGGGATCAGATTATGAAGACCAGGTCAGTGAACCTCAAAGCATCTTTTTATTCAAATTTGTTTTATTTTAATCTCTGCTTTTTATGAACAAGAAAACTGAAATGTTGACTTTGTGAGATCCTGACAGGTCCCTGATAATGTGTCTCGTGTTACGCCATTGTGTCCTATAGCTCCTTCCGCTATGCTTTTCTCTCTCACCTGCCCCCAGTTCAGACCCAAAACAGTTCAGTACGGTGGGGACTTACGGTTGAAAATTCTTTGAGATAAAAATAAGTTCCTCTTGTCTGTATGGTGGCTAATTTTGTGTAGTTGAGTGAGTGAATAACTCAAACCTTTGGGCGAAGGATCATCTGATAGCAAGATCAAAACAGGGGAGCAATATTCCACAGTCTGGAGTTCCAGACTGAAAAAAAAAGGAGAGCAGCAGCCTTTCTCCCTCCTCTCTGTCTGTCTGTCTGTCTCTCTCTCTCTCTCTCTGTCTCTCTCTCTGTGTCTATGTCTCTCTGTCTCTCTCTCTGTCTCTCTGTCTCTGTCTCTCTGTGTCTCTGTCTCTCTCTCTGTGTCTCTGTCTCTCTCTCTGTGTCTCTGTCTCTCTCTCTGTGTCTCTCTGTCTCTCTCTGTGTGTCTCTGTCTCTGTCTCTCTCTCTCTCTCACACACACACACACAGCCCTCTGCCGCTGTGACCACACCCTGAGAGTACTCCCTCCGTCATGCCTCCACTCTGTGACAGATTGTACCGTCTCAAACCATGGGTAAAATAAACCTCTCCCTCTTCAGTCACTCCTCTCGACATTGGTCAGAGCAATGAGAAAAGTAATGAATACACTCTACCTTCCCAGTACTAAACAGAGAACATGGCTGAGCTGTGGCTTCAGAGATCTGCTGTTCTGTATCTAACTCTTTGCAGAGAGTGATGCCCAAGGAAAACACGGCAAGGCGTCCAGTGTTTGTTCCCTTTGAACAGAACTGAAGACATCAATCTGGGTCATTTCCATCCCAGCAAGAACGTTCTCTACTGCTATATTTTAATGACCCAAAATAGTTGGCCAGTGATCTGACTCCCTAATTAGGCCTTAGGGTTTTTTTTTTTAAAGACAATGTCTTGGACTCCGTGCCCACTCCTGTCAGTGCTTCTCCGAAGGGGTGGAGAGCCAAGTGTGTTCTTGTCATGGTTTCCGCTCCTATTCCAACTAGTTTACGTCACAAGTAAAGCAAACGTGTCTGACTGCTGTTCATGTGTGATGACTGACTGTGTCTGTGTACTGTGAGTGTATGTGTGTGTGTGTGTGTGTACTGTGAGCATGTGTGCACATGTGTATGTGTGTGTATGTGTGTGTGTACTGTGAGCATGTGTGCACATGTGTATGTGTGTGTACTGTGAGCATGCGTGTACATGTGTGTGTATGTGTGTGTACTGTGAGCATGCATGTACATGTGTATGTGTGTGTACTGTGAGCATGCATGTACATGTGTATGTGTGTGTTCATAAATTAAGTTCCTCCCATCACAAAACATGAAAATATTGACACAAGGGTTATCCTGTGTTTATAGTACCTAGTAATACTTATTAAGCATTTGCCACAGAGAAAACTAAGATATTGGTCTTGTGTTGACTGTTGTACTAACTTCCCACAGCATCTCCACAGGTAGAATTTTGATTTCTACCTCACAGATAAGAAATTGAGGACAGAGTCATTTGCCCAAGGTCACACAAATAGTTTCCCAATGGAGATGTGGAGCATGGGATGTAGCTTCTTGCCTATGGTATTTTATTAGCATGTGTTAATTATAAATATTAATGGGTTTCATTGTCTTGTTTTCATGCATGTACGTAATGAATTTTAGTCATAGCCACACAGTTCCCTCTTGTGACCTCCTTCCATGTCCATTGATCCACAATTAGTTTCTCTTTTACTTTGATATTCTGTTTTTACACTTTGATGACCCAGTGGGTTATATTATGGTAGCTTATAGAAGCATGGGGTCAGAGGTTATTTACAAGAATATTTACATTCACCAGTGGCCACAACATTGAAAAAGTGTCTGGCCTCCAGCAACCATTAACTCCCTACACATTCTCAGGAAGGGGAAGGGCCTTATGAACTTTCTCCTACTCAAAGCCGGATTGTAGATCAGCTGTGTCTTTTGACGTGCTCACAGCTGCTGAGTCAGGAGAACCACGACCATACCATGCATAGAAGACGGAGCTCTGCATCACCCCCTCCTCACCCTGGCACTCTTTCCGCTCTGTCTTCCATGATGTCCACGGGCCGTGGAGAGGGAGAGTGCTGTAGATGTCTAATTGTTTGAAGACAAACCGGGTATAGTGTTGGCGCCTCTTCAGTTGCTGACCCATAAGGCCTCAGCCAAGGCAAATGGCCACTGCTCACAGGGAGAATCTGAAGTTATAGACAGCCACAGCAAGAAAGCCCAGCAACAAGTGAGGGGCTTCACACCCCAAGAGCTAGTGATAATGGAAAACACTGGAAGAAATCTTAGATAGGAATATTTTATACATTCAAAGAAAAGAAGAAAGAATAGGCACCATGAAGCAACTATAAGAAAGGATGGAAAGAGAAAGGAAAAAATTAATATCATAAGTGTGATAGTTGGTTATCAGCTTAACGGGATCTGGAGTTGTTTAAGAGACACGCCTTCAGGCACACCCATGAGAGATTAAACTGGACCCTGGGTGTGCCTATGAGGGCTATTCTTTATTAGTTCATTGTGAAGGGAAGCCCCACCATGGAGAAGCTGGCACTATTCCCGGACCTTGGATCCTGGACTGCATAAGAGGGGGAAGCTGGCTGAACATGCATGCATCTCCTCCTCTCTACGTCTTGACTGTAGACGCACTGTGACCTGCTCCTGTCACCTGGTTCCCATGCTCTGATGGCAGCACCCTTGAACTGTGAGCCAAGATAAACCCTCCTCCCTCAGCTCGCTGTTGTCAGATACGGTTGCAGCAACGAGACAAATAACTAATGCTCTTGGCTCAAAATACAATCACTACTAAAATAAAAATTCCATTAACAGTTTGGAAAGTTGGCTGAACACAACTAAAAAAAGAATGATGGTGCAGATCAAACTCCCTTAAAATAAAACAGAAATCTGAGCAGTTGTCTAGTGTGAGGAAGAACTCAGCAGAAACCAAGGACAGAAGGAACCAAGAAATATATCCTGTGCTTTAACAGACAATGGTTGAGAATTTTATAGACATGAAAAGGACACGTATTCAGATTGAAAGAGCACACCCAGTCCAAAAAAAAAAAAAGAATTGAAAAAGAATTTAAAAATTCAATCTCCACTAGTCTTTTTTCATGCAGTCGTTGGGTGGATGTTGAGTTCTACATTCCGGGTTCTGTTTTGTTTTTTTTTTTTTTTTTTTTTTTTTTTTTTTTTTTTTTTTT